AGGGTCTTCCAACTTGGCAAGTTTAAGACTTGTGGACTTCAACTCCCAGAATTCCTGAGCTAACATGACTGGAGGAGGAATTCTGGGAGTTGAAGTCCACAAGTCTTAAACTTGCCAAGTTGGAAGACCCTTGGATTAGACAGACAGACAGCTATAGACAGACAGATTAGATAGGTAGGGAGAGGGGGAGAGAGAGAGAGAGAGAGAGAGAGAGACTGTAGACCAGGGGTCTTCAAATTTGACAGCTTTAAGACTTGTGGACTTCAACTCCCAGAATTCCTCCTCCAGCCATGTTAGCTCAGGAATTCTGGGAGTTGAAGTCCACAAGCCTTAAACTTGCCAAGTTGGAAGACCCCTTGCCTTGAAGGCTTCACTTCCTTTTTCAGAAAGTCAAAGAGAGAAAATCCTTTTCTATGGGAAAAGGGGTGACCAGGTTCCCCCCCCCCCCCCCAGTTATCCCTATTTTTTGGTTATACAAGAAAAAGGATTGATTTATTCAGGTCCCGTGAAGTCAGGCTGCATTTCTGGGCAACTCTTGGAATCGCAATTTTAAGATCAGATCTTTGGCTTGTTCTGTGACTCAGTGCTGCAAAAGTCAACGGGCCTCCAGGGAGAGAAGGGTCTGGGCTAAGCTAGTCCATCTCCGCTGCGGAATCTGACCTGGGACACCTTCATTTGGGGAGGTGGGGGGGATATATAGGCTCTTTCTTTCTAAAGAAAGCAAGTTTTCACAAGTTCTTTCACAAAAGATCATACTTGCCAATTGTTGGGATAGTCACCTGGGAAGGTTGCATGAAATGAGGAGGAGCTCATGTTTTAATAATTACAAGAACCATTTATTAAATGTATAGCCCCAATTCCGGGTGGATGGTATGAAACGCCTCGTCTCTCTTGTTGCCACTTAACCAGAAAATATTATGAAGATCTTGCACAATTTGTTTACTCAAAAGCTCCTCGTGTTTCCTACGGTTAAACCTCCCTGGGCTCCTTTCCACCTTCCTAAAAGTTTCCATTTATCCTCGTTTCTCAACCGTCCGACTCATTTCCTCGAGCAGAGTTTACGAGGCTGATATTAGAATTATAATTAGCAGTGAGCCACATGCGTGTGGGGGGGGCGGGGGGAGTATGTTTGCCTTGAGAGGTCAGGAATACTTCTGAAGTGACGTGCACCCCTGCTTATAAATCGTGACGTCACTCAGGGAAGGGGAGAGGAGAGGGGACAGCCTTCGGACACACGATCTCTGCGGGTCTTGCACGGACGATGACCGGATCAAACTTCATAACATTTCAGACTGTAAATTTCCGGGGACACAAACGGTTGCTTGAAATGGTGCTTCTCTCTTCCCCACAATGCATGTTCGGTGACGGGGGCCGAGAATCTCAGGGGAGAAGAGGGCCTGCGCAAAGTCTTGGAGTGACCCTATATTTTGTGGACGTTGGACATAAAAAGAGATGGGTTGCAGAGACCCCTTTAGTCGGGGACCTCTGTGAAGGAGGAGAATAGGAATAGGAATAAGAGTAGGAGTGGAATGGAATGGAATGGAATGGAATAAGAATGAATAGAATAGAAAATAGTAGAATAGAATAGAGAATACAATAGAAAGAATAGAAAGAATAAATAGAACAAGAATGAATAGATTAAGAATGAATAGAATAGAAAGTAGAATAGAAAATAGAATAGAATAGAAAATAGAGAATAGAATAGAATAAGAATTAACAGAATAGAAAATAGAATAGAAAATAGAATAGAATGGAGAATAGGATAGAATAGAAAGAATTAATAGAATAAGAATGAATAGAATAGAACGAATAGAATAGAATTAACAGAAAACAGAGAATAGAATAGAAAGAATGAAATGAGAATGAATACGATAGAATAAGAATTAACAGAATAGAAAATAGAATAGAATAGAAAATAGTAGAGTAGAATAGAATTAATAGAATGAGAATGAATAGAATAAGAATTAATAGAATAGAAAATAGAGAATAGAATAGAAAGAATTAATAGAATGAGTAGAATAGAATAGATCCTCATCTTATGACCATTTGTTTTAACAACCACTCAAATGGTGCTGAAGAAAGTGACTTCCGCCTGGGTCCTCGCACTTACGACTGTCACAACCTCCCGCTGGTCCCTTGCCAGGATGGCCTCCAGCAGACCTGACCCCCCCCCTTTCTGATGCCTCTCCCCCCCCTGGCAGGGTGGTTTCTTCCCGGAGCACGTGAGGTCCATGACCAGCCTGCGATGGCTGAAGCTGAACCGGACGGGCCTCTGCTACTTGCCGGAGGAGCTCTCGGCCCTCCACAAGCTGGTGAGAGATCGGCGTTTCCTTTTGCAGCCCCCCCCCCACACCCGGGGGGTCATTTTGGAGGACAGGAAACAGGGGGGAAGGGGGGAAAACGGGCCCACAGAAACGGGGTGGTTTTATTTTTAAATAAAATAGAAATTTTGCAAGGAAGAGTCATTATGACGTTCCCATGTTGTTAAGGCTAAACTCAGGTGCCCAAACAGGCTTAGGATCCCTGAGGCTGAAGGACCTGAGAGAGAGGGGGGAGGGGGGATTTGGGGAGGGGGGCCAGGATTTCCCACCACAGATCCCTCCCCCTTCCTCCTGCCCCCCTTCACGGGCCACTTCATGTCCCACCCCAAGCCACAGCCTTCTCAATGCCATTTGGGCTCAATGCACAAACCCAGATGGCTTGTTCCCCCCCCCCCCCCCCCGTGAAGCTAACCCCAGTGGGGAGGGTGCACACCAACCCTCCGGACAATCCCACGCAGCCCCCAGACCCTTCCTGCTTGCCTTCCCCAATAGGAACACCTCTCCGTCAGCCACAACAACCTGACCACCCTCCACGGAGAATTCTCCAGCCTCCCTTGCCTGCGGGTAAGTCCTCCGCACCCCAGAGCTCCCCCGTTGACCCTCCGCACGGTCTCAGGTGGGTCTGACCCCCCACCCCCGTTCTTTCTCCTCCCGCTCCCCAGGCCCTCGTCGCTCGGGCCAACGCGCTGAAGAATTCCGGGATTCCTTATGAAATCTTCCAGCTGGACGACCTCTCGGTCCTGGTAGGTGGCAGATCCGGCTGGGGAATTCTGGGGGTTGGAGCCCACGTATCTCTCAGTGACCAGGTTTGAGGGAAATGGCTCTAAATTCAGACACCCTCCCCCCATTATTCTCGCGCTTTCCCTTTGGATCTCTGAGAAAATGTGGCCTCCTTGGCTGCCCCACGATGCTTCCGTGGCCTCTGATGTCCCCCTCCTGGCTTTCTCTTCCTCTAGGACCTGAGCTACAACCAGCTGACTGAGTGTCCACGGGAGCTGGAGAACGCCAAGAATATCCTGGTGCTCAACCTCAAACATAACAGGTAACATCAATAGTCCTCCACTTATGACCGGTTGCTTAGCAACCATACGAAGTTATGACAGACCCCCCCCCCAAAAAAGGCTGCTTATGACCAGATTCCAAAGTTGTCACAACCACACACACACACACACACACACACATACACCAAGGTTACATGATTGTGGGCACTTAATAGCTGACTCCCCTTTACGGACCCCGTGGTCCCATGACTGCAATTTTCTGTTGGTTTTTCGCCAGGATTCGGATTTACTTCTAGTTCCCAACAAACAAGGTCCGCTGAACAAAATGGCTTCACTTAGCGTCAGAGTGTTTGCTTAAGAACAGCGGCATTTGCCTAACAACGGCTGCCGAGAATGCCAAAATATTGGGGGTCCGTTCCCTGGATGCCTTGACCTGCAACCACAACAACTCATAACCCAGATTCAGGGCGTTACAAACTACAGCCGTAAGTCAAGGAATTAGAGTAGAGTAGAGTAGAGTAGAGTAGAGTAGAGTAGAGTAGAGTAGAGTAGAGTAGAGAAAAAGGATAGGATAGGATAAGGAAAAAATGAAAAGGAATAGAACAGAAGAGAAAGAATAAAATAGAAATAGAATGAGTAGATTAGAATATAGAATAGAAAATAGAATAAGAATAGAGTACAGTACAGTACAGTACAGTACAGTACAGTACAGTACAGTACAGTAGAACAGAACAACAGAACAGAACAGAACAGAATAGAATAGAACAGAATAGAATAATTCTTTATTGGCCAGGTGTGATAGGACACACAAGGACCCCTCCCCCCCCCCCGTATGTGGGGAGGGAAGAGGCAACTGGACGGAATGGATTAAAGTTTCATTCTACGGCCTCCTCCTGCTCTCGCGAGGGGCTGCCAGTAAAACGGAGATATTTGGATTTGCTTGGCTAGATGTCCACTCTGTTCCCTTCCTCTCTTGGCCCAAATCCTTAAGAAGCTTAAACCAGAGCAAACCATAATGACCCATTGCCCAAAACGGGAGGCCGGGCGGGGAAGGGAACGTTTTCCTGGCAGAATTCTGCCGGCCCCTCCTTTCATCCCAAGGGCCCGTCCTCTGCCTTTCTGCCAACTCAGACGAGCCCCGGGCAAACTGCAGCTTCCACCGAGAAACCGTCGGTGTCGCCGCGAAGAAGCAGGCGGCAGCTTCTGGGCCAGCAGCCTCCAAACTTGGCCCCTTTTAAGACTCGTGGACTTCAGCAGAGCTGGCTGGAGAATTCTGGGCGTGGAAGCCCACAAGTGGCCAAGTTTGGAGAGCTCCGTTCTGGGCACTGGGTGGATCCAGCCCTCCACGGAGGGAGACGCCCCAGGGAGTTTGGGGAGGAGAGAAACGAATGGCTCCTTGCGGGGGTGGGGGGTGGGGGATGGGGGAACCTGGCTGGGGTGTGAACCTCTGGCTGCTGAAGGGCCTTTGGCGAGTGGGGCGGGGCGCTGGCACCAGGCCGGGCCTCCCTGACAGTGTAAACAAGGCGTGTCCCCCTCCCGCTTTGCCCCTGCAGCATAGATAGCATCCCCAACCAGCTCTTCATCAACCTGACCGACCTGCTGTACCTGGATTTGAGTGACAACAAGCTGGAGAGCCTGCCCCCCCAGATGAGGCGCCTGGTGCACCTGCAGACCTTGCTCCTGAGTAACAACCCTCTGATGCACGCCCAGCTCAGGTAGAGCCCACCTGCGTTCCCCTGGGAGTTGCAAGTGGGGGAAGGGTCCCGCTTCCGGGCCTGAGGGGTTGGCCCGAAGGGGAGCCTCTCCTTCCCTCGCTTTAGAGGCGCTGAGCCCCGGGGCTTCGGGCGGGGCTGAGGACAGAGAGGCGGGTGGAGGCAGGCCGAGTCGGGGGCAGAATCCCACCTGACTCTCCTGCCCCTGGTGGTCCCAGCTAAGCCTTTCTCCCCCCTCCTCCTTGCTCTCCCCCCCTCCCCCGAAGGCAACTCCCTGCCATGACGGCCCTGCAAACGCTCCACCTGCGGAACACGCAGAGGACACAGAGCAACCTGCCCACCAGCTTGGACGGCCTGACCCGCCTGGCAGGTACCAGCTGCAGTCGCCCCACCTCCCACCAGGGACCCCCGAAGACTCCCCTCTCCTGGCCTTTCCCCCCCCGGGTGTCCTCCAAAGGCACCAGACCTCAAGCCCTGCAACCTCCGGCCGGGTGGACGGTGGTGGGAGCCGTATTTCCGATGCACTGGGAGGAGGGCAGACGTTTACTTACGACAATAGGAATGCCTTGAAATTGGGGGGCGGGGGGCACCGTGGACCCCAGAACTCGCCTTCCTGGGTGGCCCCCTGGCCCCCTTCCCTCCCCCCCCAGGGAACCCCCTCCCTTCTGCCACCTGGTCTTTCTTTCCCGGCCCTGCACAGATGTGGACCTCTCTTGCAATGACCTGAGCCGGGTTCCGGAGTGTCTCTATACTCTGTCCAACCTGCGGCGGCTGAACCTGAGCACTAACCAGATTTCGGACCTGTCTCTTTGCATCGACCAGTGGACGCAACTGGAGACCCTCAACCTGTCAAGGAACCAGCTGACTTCCCTGCCGGTGGGTCCCCTTTCCCGGAGGCCACCCGGCTCCCCTTGGGGCTCCGGAAGTCCAAGGTCAGGACAGGCCAGCAACGGGAGCCAAGGAGACTTTGGTTCAACCATCATACTTGATTAAAGCTGGCAGGTTAATCCGAGTCGCTTGTCTGCTCTTAGGAGGAGCAAAGCACCGCCCTTTCCTCACTAGGTAGTCCTTGACTTATGACCAATGGTACTTAGGAACCGTTTGAAGTCACAACCTACCTGGAAAGGGGAACTTACGGCCCGGATCCAAACTTCCTTGGTTAGATGGTGGGCATGCTGGATGCGTTGCTTTTACAAGCAAGAGAAAGCAGACAGATTCAGGAAGTGGCCACATCCCAGGGGCAAGGATATAGGCCAGGGTTTCTGGACCTTGAAGATGAGTGGACTTCAACTCCCAGAATTCCCCAGCCAGGGCATGCTGGGAGTTCCACAGGTCTTAAAAGTTGCCAGGTTTGAGAAGTATTAATATATAAATAAATATTAATAAATATTAATATTAAGAGGTACGTAGAACAGTAAATCAATTTTTTTCTGCCTTTGCACTGCGATTTATGGAGCCGTTTGTTCTACCTTTATAGAAACCATTCTGATCTTTTGCGTTCCAAGGGGTGGATTTGGACAAAGTTTTGTGGAAAAGCTGCTTCCAAATGAGCAAGTGGGGATTTCTTTTCCTTCCTGAAATTAATTCTCCTTCCGTTCTCCTCCCCGCACCCCCCAGTCCGCCATCTGCAAACTCACCAAACTAAAGAAGCTCTACTTGAACTCCAACAAGCTGGACTTTGACGGTATCCCTTCCGGCATCGGGAAGCTGGCCAACCTGGAGGAATTCATGGCTGCCAACAACAACCTGGAGCTCATTCCCGAAAGCCTCTGCAGGTTGGTCGCCCTTCACTCTTCCGCCGAGTAGCTCGGCCATCGCTCTCTGGGCGAGCTGGACTTCTGCCTCAGCTGGGCTCAGCCCTCTGGCCTTCCCCCTTTCTACAGGTGTGTGAAACTCAGGAAGCTGGTGCTGAACAAGAATCGCCTGGTGACCTTGCCGGAAGCAGTGCATTTTCTGACGGACGTGGAGGTGAGAGTTTTAGGGGCAAAGGGGCATCCTGCATGGGGCATCCTGCAAAAAGGAAGTGGTTGCTCCTTGGACAACGGTTGTTGAGGTCTATGGAGGTTCTCCGTCCTCCAGATCAGGGGTCTCCAACCTTGGCAACTTTAAG